CTACAAAGGATTTTTTTTTCTGAATGCCTGCCATGTGCAAATTACAGTGCTAGACAGGGAGGCCTTTTTCTTCTTCCCATTCTTTCCCCAGACGTCTCCTCCTTCCCAGTTTTCACATCCCATTGACTGCCTTCATGGTGGACCGTCTTCCATCCTCCCCCTCCTCTTCCTGGTAACGTCTGGAAAGGAATCCCAGTGCTCTCTGCGAAGACAGCTGTTCCTAGTTCAGAAATCAGCCTTGGTCAAGGCGAGTCAACGTGATTTCTCTGGCAGATGAGCAACCCACAGCTCCTCTCTCCACTTTGGTAGCCACCTACCTCCTCAGACACGCAGCTGGAGAGGAAGTTTCTGCCATTTTCTGGCTCCCATTTGAGAGACAGGAGGAGAAAAGGGAGAAAGAAAGCTGAGAGAGAAAGGAAAGGCCTGCAATCGTGGTACAATGGAGAAAGGAGAAAAAGGGAAGGGCAAGTTAGAGAGGGAAGTGATGAGATGGTTGGGCTCTGGGTGTGAGAGACCCACAGTGCTAACATTGCATTCCTTTGGATTGGAAGCTGCAGAACACGCTAGCGGGGTACCTGCTTTCCGAATGAGAAGGTATGTATTCAAGGAACCGTCTTCAGGTTGAGGGCCTCTTCGAAAGGCAGATAAATCCACCATGATGTATTTTGGCTCTATGAAAACCATTCAGAAAAACACAAGATTGCAAAACAATAATAATAATAATAACCTGTAGAAGCTATTCTCAGTGACTACTTACTATTCCTTGAAAAAAATGTAAAATGAGCTTAATAATGATTTCATCTTTACTGGCATTTTCTTTTCCTTAAATCGCCTTAGATATGCAATAATGTCACCATTCCAGAAGTTTTTGAGATGGGGGAAAATAAGTGATCATTTTAAACTTATAATTGGTGATATAAATATTTATTGTTTAAGTGATGCCATTATGGAACCAAGAAGAGATATGCTTACAATATATCACTTAAGGATATGTTTGGGTTTTTTTAAGCACATTAAAAACTGTTTATTTTTGCAAGTTGCTAATGAAACTGCAGTAAGCCAAGAACAAACACATGGTCACAAGGTTAGATACTCTCTCAGGTATTTAAAATTCATGTGGATTTCAAATGTATTGCCTTGAAATGATGGAAAATCCCCACACAGGGCCTATATTGCTTGGTCCAAATGGCTATGAGCACACTGCATTTGTTTTTTATTTCTTTGCTGTTGCTGTTAACTAAAACAGCTATGCTAATACAATTTGAATTTGCAAATGTGATAGGGGAAAGATGTCTTGCATCCTGGTTTGTCATGAGGAGCCAGAAATGGGAAGGAAAAAAATCCTTCAGTAAAGGTGGCTTTTTGAGTTGCCTGAACAATGCTAGTACATTTTGTTCTGTAGTTGCAGGGCTGAGAGCTACTGCCTTTAAAGTGATGCTACTGTGGGAAGTTATGTATATAGGAATAATAAAAAAATGGGAATATCACAAGGTATACAAGGTTGTCTGCAGGAGCAGAAAATTAACTGTTGGGTTATAAACATGGGTCACGATATATCGAGCACCAGTCCCTAAATTATAGTAGAAACTTAAAATGTTGAAAGATTTATAGTCAGTGGACTATATTCTGGTTCATTGGTTAGAGAGGTGGCAGGAAAAGAGTTAGTATTCTAATTCAAGCAGTTTGTACTCTGTGTACAAATGTATTTATTAGCACTGTTTCTATTGAGAGTGTGTGTGTGTATGTGTCTGTGTGTTTTAATGCTAGTGATAATTCAGTGCTCAGACAATGACCTGTGGATAAAACTCCGTATGAGATGAGGTTCGAAGAGGGAAATGAAGCTGAAACTGCACAGTACTTTCCCTTGCCTGGGAAGGCCTCATATAAAATGAGGTCATTCAGAAACTTTCCCTTGAAGTGCTTCCAATTCTTGAATTGCCTTTTGTTTGGAAAATGAATAGCAAGTTGATTAAAAAAAAAGGAGACAATTAGGGAAGGTAGGGGGATGGGGCTAGAGAAGAGCTTAAGGTTTTTGTACAATGCAACTAAAACTATGAGGAAACTTCATTGTTCAGGACAGCCTGTTCGCCAGTGACGGCAACACCGGCTGGTGTCACCAACCAGTTCACATCCACGAGTGGGGCCAGCTGATGGCGTCGTCCCCTCCACTGCTGTTGATAAGATCCTTGGCTATAAAATAGCTTCATTGGACCGGAGTGTTCAACAGCGGCCCTGTGGAGCTGTCTGCCAAATAACTCCAACTGCCAAAACATGATACCTGATGGCTCGTTACTGCATGAAAATTAAAAAAGGGGCCCTGTTGAGTTGTTTTTAGATTTTTTAGATTTTTTTTTCTTTCTACCAAAGCATTGAAATGAGAAATTGAAGCTTTTCATTGGGTAGTATTTGGTTGGGTGTTCTTGTTTTGTTTTCTCAAGAGCTTTTGAAATTTGTATTTTTACAAATGGCTTTTGTGTATGTGCTGTGATCATGGAAACCGACTCAATATTATAAATGAAAGCTACAAATGGAAGACTGTCGTAAATAACCCATGGCGTGGGGAGGATGTGTGGATTTTGTTTCCCTCTGGTACCTATATCAAGTGCCTGTGCAATCACTACATTATTTATGTATTTGGCAGCCAAAGTATTTAACTCAGATACACTCCATAAGCTCTCCTCTGTTCAAGTCGCCGTATCCCATGTAGAATGAGTTTTCTTTTATATTTGACCCTGCATTTGCTTATATCTTTAAATGCAAAAGCAAATGCGCTTTGAAAACTATGTTACACAGTAGTTAAATAAGGCAATAACCTATGCACTTGGAATTCTCTCTCTATGACCTACTTACATACTACTTCACCCTCCTCATAGTATGATTAAAAGCTGCTTTGAATCCACTATTGCCTCAAGGGATTTGAGGCTAGAATTTAACAAACTGCTGAGAAGGCTTAAGTCAGTGAGAGGGCTTCCTTACAGCTTCTTCCAACGAATTCACATGCAATTAAAGAGAAAATAAATATTTCAGAAGTGTACATGTTAATGAAACATGTTCTACCTTATAGAACGTGGATCTGTATGGAACTTTATGCTATGGCTGACTGCAAAATATTTTTCATTTTGATTCATGCAGTTGTGTTTTGCTTCTGTTCTGCTCCTTTAGTAAAAGGAGGCCAGTTCTGCTCCTTTAGTAAAATTTTTATATAGTCAGCTCATTATATACATTAGATATTTATGCACATAACATACGGAAAACCAAGAACTGTCAAGGTTTGTCTTCATTTTTCCAGCTCATTATTAAGATAACTGAAAGACCTACCAAAATCCTGTAATTTCAAAGGCAGAACAGTAGCTAAGGTGGAGAGTAAATGTAGCTTAGTAGTCTGAGAACAAGTTTGGTCCTTTGGGAGTATAAGAATTCATTGGATTGCAACCATTTCTCAGTTCCTCATGAGCCTAGACCTGGTTCACTGGGTAAGGTAATATTTTAAAAATTAAGGTTAGTTTAGCCCTACATCTAACAATCTTGGAATTAGAAGTTCAAAAGCCAGATACATTGTTCAGCTGAAGAAGGCAACCAAGTCAATTAATTAAGCATGTGTGGACTTAATTGAATATCCCAGGTCTGAAACTTTATATTGCTCAATGCATCAAACCTGGATTTAAAATTGATCTCTAAGTCTCTATTTGCCTTCATAATGTCTGAAGATAGTTAGCTGTCATTATCATACAAGAAACTGGTGAGAAGAAATTAAAATCCTATTTTCTCTCTATCACGTCTGATACATTTAATTATTTGTGACTTAGTTGTTAAAACCTGTGGTTCTGGTTTGTGTCACAGAATCCTGAGGCATAACTTAATTTGTGAGGAGAAAGCCAAGCTTCCTAGCACAGGTCTGATTTTTAGAAAAACAAAGACTGAACATTACGTATTTCAAACAAAACCATAATATGTGTGTGTGCGTGCGTGTGTTTATAGGTGTATAGATGTATAGATACATACAATACCCTTGAAGTTTAAGATGTCATTACAAAATCAAGTGGTTTCCGTAAAGGTAAACTATAAACTTCTGGTATGCAATTTATGATGCTGATTCAGAATGTTAAATATGCCGTGAAGTCTTACATACTTGTGACTACACTGTGAAAAGTTTGCTACCCAAATAATCAACTAAACAATGAGAACGATCAATTAGAATGCTACCTTATAAACTAGTTTTCCAGAACTTAATGCAGATCACTTAAAAATTAAACCCGCCAGCTCCTCTGGGTTTTTTTTTCTAAGAGTTTGCCCATTTTTCTCACTTCTTGTTAGTAAATCAGTCACAAATCTTAAGTGGGTGTTGAAACTTCGTGGCCCTTTACAGATCTAACGCTCGTGAAGTCACTCAGCTGGTTTCTAATTATTGTGTTAAATACTAGGAAATGGCTGCTTCGTGATTTATCATTTGAGTAGAAAACGTGATTTATGACTTTATTTTCAGCCGCTTATACTTCTGTGTGCAAGCTGACAGAAAGGGCAGTGCCGTCATGCAGAAACAGGTTCGTTTCCTTAGGGCACCGCGATAAGTCCCTAAGTGTCACTCGGGTCATCTGTCTGATATTTACTTGGCTTAAACCTCCAGCTCCCTTTGGGTGATGGCCGTCGGTCCCCGCACGGGCAAGCACCCCACCCCAGGAAGCCTCCGAGCAAACCTCGTGCCGCTCGCCTCCCGCGGCTGGGCTCCGGGAGCGCGGCTCTGGGTCTGAGCCCGAGCGGCCACCGCGGCCTCATGCCAGCGACCCCCGGCGAGGCGGCAGAGCCCGGCGGGGAGCGGGTTTGCGTCCTGGGGTCCGGAGACCCCGGGAAGTCCGGCCGTGCCCCGGCGGTGAGCGCGGCGGCGGCGGCGGCCCGCCTCGGGCCCCCGCGGGGCGGAGCCGGGTTCGGGGCCGCGCTCCGGGCCGGCGGGCCCGCAGGGGTTAAGCGGCTGCGGGCGCCCCGCGAGCTCCGCCCCCGCCCGCCGCACCTGGCGCTCTGCAGCCGGCCGCCCGGCGCTGGATTTCGGAGGGGATTGGCGGAGCGCGAGGAGAGAATGTGACAAGTGCCGGCTCGGCGGCCGCCGGGGGAGGCCGCGCGCACCTGTCCCTGCCCGTCTCGCGCCGCCCGCGGCCGCTCGGACGCGCGCAGAGCCGCCCCCCGCCGCCGCCGCCGCCGCGTGCGCCCGCGAACATGACTTCTGCCTTCAAGCTGGATTTCCTCCCGGACATGATGGTCGAGGGCCGCCTGCTAGTTCCTGAGAGAATGTGAGTGGCGCCGCGTCCCGAGGCCGGGCGAGCGGGCGTCTTCTCCTCGGGGCCGCCGGCGCGAAGCAGACGGGCGGCGCCCGCCACTCCCGGAGCGGCTCGGCGGCCTCAGAGCCGCCGCCTCCCTCGGCCTTCGGAGGCCGGCGCGGGACGCGGGAGGAGGGAGCGGGCGTGGACCGGCGGCGCGGGGCGCGGGGCTGCCCGGAGGAGCGAGCGCCGCGCGGCGTCCGGGGACCGGGCGGGGTCCGCGAGTCGGGGGTGAGGACTCGCGGGCGGGGCGCGGCGTTTCGGGGTCCGGGCGGCGTCCTTGGGTCCGAGTGGGGACCGGCGAGCGGGGCGCGGAGTCCCGGAGTCCGGCGGGGCGGGCGGGGCGGGCGGGGGCCGGGCGGGGTCTGGGGGTCCGGGTGAGGGCCGAGCGGGGCGCGGCGTCCCGTGGCGGGGTCCGGGCGGGAACCGGAGAGCGGGGCGCGAGGTCCGGGCGGGGCGCGCGCGTGCGAGTGTGCACGCTCGTGTCATTTGAAATGCGGGGCTGACGGAGCTCTCGTGGCCCGGGGAAAGAGCCCTTCTGACCAAATGACCCGCTCGTCTGACTTAATATTTGCAAAGATCCTTTCCTAAGGTGGGAGAGGGGAAGCGGTGAAAAGGCGGGGGCGGGGGGGGGGGGGCGGGGGGAGATAATTCTAAAGCGTGAAACTAGCCAGGTGTACTTTATTGCAGAAATTCGAGGTAATTTTTACATAATCATGATGGTTTGTCTGATATGCGGTCTGTAATTTAATAATTGATGTGATTCTCGTGGTTTTACATGTCGCCAAACTAGGGTAGAGCGTTTATTGGAAGAAGTGGAGGGCTGGGATTCCTGAAGAAAGCAAAGTATGTCTAATTTTTAGCTGGCTCGATAGGAAAGTTTTTATTAGCTCAGGGAGGGTCAGTAAGATCTTTGTATTTCAGGCATGTTAGGAAAAGGAAATCGAAAAAGAAAGGATTTTCAGAGTGAGACCAAAAGGTCTGCGTCCTTTTCGGACATACAAAATTCTCTCTGATAGGTGGGAAATTGGATAGCGGATCTAAGTTGTAATTAATCGAATCTAGTAGCGGGAGGAAGGGATTGGTATGGTAAGAGTGCATGGAAAATGTTTCCTGTCCTACCCCCTGTGGGACTAAACATCCGTATTCTTTCTGGCACCTTATGGTAACCTGCAGTATTCAGGTTCTGTGATCCATTTCCTTGGCAACTAACTTTGCCCTACCATGCTAGATGCATTTTCTAGCATGTTAAGTGTTAGGAGTTAGAGATTCTTAAGAAATTCTGCAGTGGCCAATTGTTTGAGCTACAAGTACTGAAAAAGAAAAAAAAAAGGGGGGGGGGTAGTGTGTAGAGGAAGAGGATGATAGAATCTGCTACAGATTGTCTTTTGAGTCATTATTGAGAATGTTAACTTTGTTGTACACGATCAAGTTCATCGTTTAAACTGAAATAATCACATAATATCAGTTAATATTCCTTTTTGGTAATTTTCTGATTAGTAACATTTCCACGGTATTTGTTTTAAGAGACCTCTGTCCTGTCCCCTATCTTGAATTATAGACCTGTGTAGGCATATAATTCATGTTTGCCCATGAGCTAGTGTGAAAGTCTTACGCGTTTTCTCCTCTAGAGGCTGGAGTGTTCAGGCTTAACTGAAGAATTCGCTTAATCATGATTTTGAATTTATGGTCACCTGCTACTAAACTGGCCATCATATAGCTAAGCTGAGGAATGCTCTATGAATTTTAAGTGTTAATGACCTCAGAAATATGCAGTTTCTTGTCAATTATGAATTATGAAAATTTAATTTATCCTTTTCATTTGGTGGATGAATGTGGCCTGTTAAAATGATTTGCTCTGAACTGAGCCCTTGTGCCTCAGCCATGGAGTCTCCTATGACAATCCTAATGTGACTTCTACCCCACTTTTCTCTTCCAAATGTTAGTCATTTCCAAATGATAGCCTTTGGAATCAAACCCAAATTGTTCTCAGTGTTGTCAGCTATTGCTTAATTGAACTCAAGAAAAATGATTTGTAAATGATAGTTTATTAGTTGTTTCCAAAATATGTTGCGTGCCTCTGTAGCCCTGAGAACACTATAGCATGCTTTTCAGAATTGTTGGTACAGTAATTAACTCACATTAGATACTGTATCTGGGGGATAGAGGTGTGAGGGGGGTGACAATTTGAAAATGCATGAAATCTGCCTAGGTCGTAAGTTTTATTGCTGTATTCACGAAGTTGAGAAGATAGCCGTGTGGATTGTTTTCAGGACTAATTGTCATGTGTGGTATATCACCATTTGGACTAAATTGCAGTTGGCTGGATATTGGCCTATTCCTAAAAGGAACTGAAAACAGAGGGGCTTTTCTTCTGTTGATTTTTCTAAAGCAGTAGAACATTTTCAATGGCTTTTTCCCACAAGAATGTATTAGATAACTTTGCAAGATGTAATATGTTTGAGTCCTCAAGGCAGATGAACAAATAGCTTTTGAGATGAATTATTACGCTTGATGGCCCCACGAGCTATCCAATGTTTAAAGAGCCCAGATCGTTTAAGACTCTGTAGTGGTATAGAATTGCTCTAACATGTGCGTCAAAGTTGTGGGGTTTTAAACATTCAGTATCAAAACTGTAAATGGAAATGGACATTTTAAATAATCTTAACTATTAAAGTTTCAGTGTCTTTGTGTTACTATAGAATATCATCTACAATATTTGCAGCAAAGTATAGTGAAAACAGGCAGTGTTTTTTTAAAATTTGATTTTAAACTGACAATTGGTTTTCAATTAAGATCTGGTGTGTGTGTGTTGGGGGTGTTTCCTCCTTTGATTCGCCTTTTTAATGACCATATACATGCATTTAGGGTTTGTAAATGGTTTTGAATTTTTAAACATAACTAATAAATGATGTCTTAAAAATGAGAAATTAGTTAGAAAAATAAACACAGCTTAAAAAGTATTAAGTGTTAGAATAAGACACTAAGTCGACTAATAAATAGAAAATAAATCTTAATTTTTAAATATTTGGTAGGTAACCTTACTGAAAATGAGAAAAGGTATCTTGACTGTAAATTCATCAGCTTGATGAATTGGCTTTTTGTTAAGTCCTTTCAAGTTAGGGTAACTGGCAAAATATCGGGGTATAATTAAACTGAAGGGTGGTTCTGACGACATCATTGTTAAAGCTGAAAAGCGCTTTTGGGACTATCTCGTCAGACCTCATTTTATAGATTAAGAAACTGTTAGAGGGGCCTTGTGACTAGTCTAAGAAGTAATTACTGCCTCCTCACCCAAAATAAGGAAAAGTGAGTGCCTGCTATGCACCAGGAGAGTTTATTCACATGATCTCTAATCTGCAGGGTGAGTATTGCCCACTTTTTACAGATGATGTTTACAGAAGTGACCTGCTTGCCCCTGCGACATAGGCAGTAAATGGCAAAGCTGTGGTTTTCAAGTAATCAAACACGTGGGGTGGCATGTAACCATATGTTCATGGGTTGTTGCAGAGAAGAAAACTGCATTAAAGGGTATGAATACAGTTTTATCAGAAAATCAAAACTGCCACGTGAGAATGAACATAAGAAAATGTCACCTGTTCAGGATTGATACGTGAAACATCATTTTACACTTTCTAATTTGATTCCAAGTCAGTTATTCTGAATATTAACTAATTAGAATACATTTTAATAAATTTTTTTTTTGGTTTACAATGTTGCAGCAAGATGAAGCTCAAAAGCAGTAGGGGTCCTGTTTATCTCCTTGATGAGCATTTAAAGTCTACTTAGACAATGCAGTTATATAAATAATAAAGATAACTGATGTTTATCACCTGATACCATAATGGTTATGAAAGGAAATTAAAATGAGAAAAGTCTAAAGAAAAGGCTTTGCTTGTGGTTCTTTAAGAAAAATTTTTAAAGTATTTTTTTCAGTTGAGATTTCTCAGTTAACAGCACATATTTTAGTATGAGCTGCTTTCCGAGACGAAGAATTCATCCCACATTGGCTTTTTAGAACACTAATGTTATCTTTGATCTGGGCAGAGGTATTATTTTAATTGTTAAATCTTGCTGTTTAATTGTAATTTGCTGGGTTGAGATTACTTTGGCATCTGTTGATGAGATGCAGTGAGCTGGAGAAACAAGACCCTTGTAAGACTAGATAAAAAGGAGATGGGATTTTTAGATATGAACCTAGTAATTAAGATTTCATGGGATCATTTAGAGTGTTTTCCACCTCTCAGTGTGTTTTTTTTTCCTCCCCCTACCAGCTATAATGACACTTATATTTGGCCTCTGGTAAAAGACTGCAATATCCTTTCATTTTTTACATAAATCCCCAAAGTTGATTTCTCTTTATCCCTTCCTTGCTTTTGTTTATTAAAGGTTAAACACTCATTTACTTATAAAAAGACAGGTTATGTTTAGCATGCAAAATAATCTGATACAGTTAAGTGTAACAGAACTAGTACACAATACAACCCAGCTGTTGTGCAGAAATTCAGGGTAGTGGTCATTGTTGAGGCTTATATGTAGATTATAATGGGAATGTGATGTCCTTGTTGAATTTTTTGTAAAAACTAACAAAAATGAAAACAAAGTCTCACAAACGTTAAACAATACTATAAGCATTCGGTATCTAATTTGCATTTAAATGGAAAACGTTGTATTTCCAACATGTTTCAAGGAGCAAAATTAATAAGTCATCACTGTTTATGTTCAGTGCTGCACTTTACCCAAATTTAATAGGTCATTATTTCCACGTTAGAGTATTACTGTTGGGGAGATTTTGTTTCTTCAGGGGAGGGTCACATTTTTGCTTTTTGTTTTCAGATTAGTCCATCACAGAGGAGTTAGGTGTTTGTCGGTGTAATGTTTGTTTTATAAAAGCGCAGAAGGGAGGGTTGGGAAACTACTAATGATTTCCAGTTCATTAGCACCTGCAAGTTCTCATGCACCCTGTTTGTTTC